CATTGCTAATTTGGGACCCTTGCTGTGGAGTACACACCTCTTTTCCTACCTGCACTGCCTTGAGCCAGGGTGGGGGAGCCTCCCATCCAGGGGAGTGGAGAGAGGTGATTTAGGGTGCCCCGGTCCCTGACCTGTGTGTTGGAGACAGTGTAACCCATCACTGGCCTGCCAGGGGCCACTGGAGCAGGATGAACATGGTCACAATCCTCACCCCAGAGACCCAGGAGCACATCTGTGTACCAGCTTCATGCTGTGGGGAAAGGGAGTGGCCAACACTGACCTCCTAGTGGGAAAGCTGGATGCTACAGAGTCAACTAGCAAACAAGAAGACCCTTTGGACAATGAAGTGATAAACATGCTTCATAGAACAAGGGGATAGAGTGACTGAGCCTTAAGTAGTGTGGCCAGGGAAGGCTTCTCCAAGGAGGGAACATTTGAGCTGAGAATTCTGCACGGCAGACAGACATAGTAAGCTCAGGGAGAGCCAGGCTAGGACCTATCCCTGACTCCCATATTAATAGTTTCCTTCTTCCCAGAAACATCTGTTTCTTGGGTTCAGACATTTTCTTCCAGTTTCCCTCTTACCCTCTTGGTTGCTGCTTCCCTGAGTTTTTAACAGGTTCACCCTCCTCTCGGAGCTGGCTTGTCCCAGCCCTCCTCTGTCTGGGAGGTGGTGCTCTGCTCGGGCCCCCAGTGTGAACCCCTAGCTGTCCCCTGATTACTACAACACCTCCACCCCCACCCCTCACCTCTCCTGTGCATTCCAGTGCCCTGCTTAATGTCTCCACTTAGATGTTCGATGGTCTCTTAGAACAATACTAAGGTAATATAATAAAGCAACCCCAAATCAGAATAGTTTAAAAATATTCTATTGATTCCTCTGTGATATAATAGTTCCAAAGGAAGAGTTTCAGCTTGGCAGATAGTTCGGCTCCATGTGGTCATTTAGGGATCGAGACTAATGATGGTGCCTCTATCTTTAGCGTGATGCTCCCAAGGTCTCTCTAGTTATCACTCCTCCAGCCAGTGTGAAGGGATAAACGCAGGCATCTAGGGCAGGAATTTCTTCCTCGTCACACATACCACTTCTGCTGTGTTTCATAGATGGGAACTTAGACACACAGCCCAGCTAGCTTTAGGGGAAGTTGGGGAATGAGACCCAACTGGGTGAGCAGCTGGCTGTCTCTGCTGCAGTCCACCTCTCCAGTGAGGACTTCCCTGCCCTGCAGCAGAGGAAGTTCTGGGGGAACCTCCTGACCTGGGTCTCCCTAGTCTTTGCTTTGCCCTTTGAGAATCTTTCTTATCTGTCTTTCTCCACAGCCTCCAACAGGGCGTTGAGAGTCTGTCCTCTGTGGATGCTGATTTGCATTTCAACAACCATGGGCTTTTGCAGCGCCCTTGAACTTTTGTTGGTGATGACAATTACTTCAAAACCTTGTGGACTTCAACTCTAGATGGTTCTAGTCAGTTCCATGTGCCAGAAACCACACTGGTAGTTCCTTTCTTGATGGTTCTTAAATCTGTCTTCCTTGCCCAACCTATTTCTTACTCATTTAAAGTTCAGGTTACCCTAAGGATATAAAAATAACAGATTCCAGGTACCAAGGTAATACCCTTAATAGAATACTTTGCCACAGGGATGATTTCATTGCTTGGCTTAACCTTCGGCCTTCTAGACAAGCTTTGAGAGGGGCTCTGAACCATGTCGGTCTGATCTCTTGCTCTTTGAAAAAAACCAGTTGGCTTTTTCATCCTAAGGACACCCGTTTTCTAGGTTCTCTCTGTTTCTGTCCATCTCTTTTTGTAAACTAGCTGATCTCTTTTGTGTAACGGTTTGCAAAAAGCAGCATCAAGCAGCCAACACATGCAAATATTTTCTCTTTTCAACCATTTTTTTCTAGAATTATGGGCTCTATAAGCATGCGGGATATATTCCAAATTACCACAGGTGATGTTTGCAATAAATGTTTGGTACCAACATAACAAGGGTCACCAGCCTCCCATCCTCCACTATCTGTTTCTGTATTGCTCACAAACTATTGGGTAAACCAATGCCACATATTTTAGGAGTTTTATGCATGGCAGTTTCCCCCTTCTGGTGCCAATTTCCATATTCACTAGAGTATTGCTAAGCTGCTATTAAAAGGAATTCCAGGCCTGGCATGGTGGCTCATGCCTGTAATTTTAGCACTTTGGGTGGCTGAGCCAGGAGGATTGTTTGAGGCCAAGAGTTCAAGACCAGCCTGAGCAAGAGTGAGATCTTGTCTCTACAAGAGATAGAAAAAGTAACCAGGCATAGTTACTGTAGTCCCAGATGCTTGTGAGGCAGGAGGATCACTTGAGCCCAGGCATTAAGGATGCCCTGTAGACCTGGGGAAAGAGCAATAGCTTGTCTCAAAAAAAAAAAAAAAAAAGGAATTCCAAAATATAGTGGTCTGGTCTTAAGATTGTGCAAGCTGGCTCGGCACCTATAGCTCAACCGGCTAAGGCGCCAGCCACGTACACCTAAGGTGGCAGGTTCGAATCCCCAGCCCGGACCCGCCAAACAACAATGACGGCTGCAACCAAAAAAAAAAAATAGCCCGGGCGTTGTGGCGGGCGCCTGTGGTCCCAGCTACTTGGGAGGTGGAGGCAGGAGACTCGCTTGAGCCCAGGAGTTGGAGGTTGCTGTGAGCTGTAATGCCACGGCACTCTACCCAGGGGGACAGCTTGAGGCTCTGTCTAAAAAAAAAAAAAAAAAAAAAGATTGTGCAAGCTGATTTTTCTCTCATGTAATATAGTTCTGACATGAGCATTTCAGCCGTCACCCAGGTGGGGGTTAGGTTTTAATGAGTGGCCAGCAGACTACACCCTTCTCTTCCCTAAGATATTCCCTTATCAATGGCACGACCACAGAGCGCTTGCTCAAGCCAAATACACAGAAGCCATCCTAGGGTGGAATTGCCCTACCTAATCCATCAGTAATTCCTCTCGATTCTGTATTCAGACAAATCCCAAATCTGACATTTCCTACATTTCCATTGCCTCCATCCTAACCCACACCTCCCATGTCTTGTCTCTGGGGTCTCAAAACGATCTTCCAAGTGGGTTCCCTGCTTCTTTCCTGGCTCTTCGCCACATGACAGCCAGAGTAAGTTTTGAAAAGCATAAAATGGAGCACGGAGCTTCCCCTGCCCAAAACCCTCCAGTGCCTTCCGTCTTCATAACATGGCCACCGAGGCCTTCCATGACCTTCCATCCCCCCACCCCCTGTGCACTCTGTCTTAGCCACAAGGGCCTCCTTGCTGCTCCGGGACTAATCCAAGCTTGTTCCTGCTTTAGCGCCTTTGCACCAGGGTTCCTTGAACCCAACACTTTCTTCCCACTTGGTCATGTGGCTGGTTCCTCCTTTGTCCACCATGGGGCATCCACTTCAGCACAGTGGGCAAGAGTGTGGGTTTGGGAGTGGTGCTGCCTGGATTTGAAACTCAATTGTGCTACTGACTAGCTGCCTTGGTTTTGCTGTCTGTAACTGCAATGATAAATGTATGGTACTTGTTACCCACGGCCATTGAGAGGATAAAATAAAACAGCTAGCATTTAGGTTAAATGTGTTAATGCATAAAAAGTGGTCAGGGCATGGCACCATGTTAAGCACTTAGCAGTTACTGTCCTTTAGATGTCAGCTTAAATATCCCCCACTCCAAGAAGCCTTTCCTGGCTAGCTACCCTGCAAACCCTCCATCTGCATCCCCATCACGGCACACTTCTAGTTTATGTGTTTATTGTCCGTCATACCTCTCTGCCCCCACCAATCCCCATGCTAGAATGTAACTGTCATGAGGACGGGGACTTTGTCTTTCTTGTTCAGTTTATGCTGAGTGAGTACACAGTAGGTTCTCAGTAGGTCTTTGTTCAGTGATTATGGAAGGCATGGAGGCCAAATCCCTCCGACTTTCTCCTTTGCCAGTGGCCCTGGGTGGCTGTGGGAGCACTGCTCTCTGTGTGCTGGGCATCTCAGCCCCAGGGCATTGGACAGGGGCTACCCTAGGGACCTGGTCTTGGAGACCCTTGGGGCATTGGTGGGATGTTGCTGTGGGGGTCTCAGTCCTTGGGGGGGGTGTCTGTAAGAGCACGATTTGGAGTCTACCCCGCGGCTCCATCTGTTACTAGGGGACTAGCTACTTTCCCCTCGGTGCTTCCATTACATGTAAAATTGGGAGAATACCGATTACCTCACAGCGCTGTTAGGAAGATTAAATAGGATGATGTATGTAAAACTGTTCACTGGTTGGCTTGGAGTAAAGCTCTCCAGATGGTGACGGCTGTTGTTGTTGTTGTTGTTGTTAGTGCCGTATCTAAGTGTCATTCTTTAGAGTATGAATGGGGGTAACTTGGATGGAAGGAGGAGAGAGGAGACAGAGATGTCTAGGGAAGGGAAGAGCCAGATTGGAATGATTGGGATTTAATTGTATTCGTGAGCGCGGGTGTGTGTGTGTGTGTGTGTGCGCACGCGCGTGCGCGCGTGCCCCTGTTTCTCTCTGTCTGTCTGTCTGGGGAGGAGGGGGCAAAGATCCAGAGGAGAAGCCGGTCCCTTCTTCCAAGCTCGACTCTGGGGGAGCCAGGTGCCCTGGCTCTCGCGGCTGCAAGGAGAGCTGGGAGCTGTCTGGCACCCCGCACAGAACCCGAGGCAGAGTAACTAGCGCCTCGAGTATGTGTATCTTGGGTTAGGGGGCGCGCGACTTGCGTCCCCGCAGCCACCCGGGTTGCTACAGACATGGGGAGAATCTTAGAACGGACAGCACGGGCTCAGTCCGCCGTCCCGAGGACCCTTGGTCCGGGGGCCGCTCGGCGGTGCCGCATGCTCTTGGGGCCTCAGATCCTCCCGGAACCCCCACGGGGCGGGGCCCGCCTTCCGGAGCAGGGTTGGCAGGGGCGGGAGGCGCCGGGGAAGGGGCCGTTACTTTCCCAGAGTGGCGGGGCGACGTCAGGCGGAAGGGCGCGGGGCGCGCACGCTTTAAATGGCATTCGCTGTCATCCGAGCTCGCAGCCGTGTGGGCAGGAGCGGGCTATATAAGCCGCGAGCCCGGCAGCCGCGGGGCAGACTGTGACAGCAGCAGCGGCGAGCGCCTCGGAGTAAGGCGGAGCAGCGTCCCCGGAGTCCCGCGCCCCCCGACGGGCCTGTCCGCCCGCCCTCCCAAGGAGCGCCTGCCCGGGCCCGCGAGGGCCGCCGCCACCCCGCAGCAGATTTGGATCCCCCGCCCGGCGAGCCCCAGGCTGCTGCCTCCCGGGGGGGCCCGGCGCAGCGGCCGCCCCCGGAGAGCCCCGCCGCCCCGCCACCCGGCCCCTCAGACGCCGGCGGCGCCATGGCGGCCGCCAAGCCCGGAGAGCTGATGGGCATCTGCTCCAGCTACCAGGCGGTGATGCCGCACTTCGTGTGCCTGGCCGACGAGTTCCCGCAGCCCGTGCGGCCGACCAAGCTGTCCAAGGGCAAGGGCCGGCTGCGGCGGCCGCGCCAGTCCCGCTTCAAGACGCAGCCAGTGACCTTCGACGAGATCCAGGAGGTGGAGGAGGAGGGGGTGTCCCCCATGGAGGAGGAGAAGGCCAAGAAGTCGTTCCTGCAGAGCCTGGAGTGCCTGCGCCGCAGCACGCAGAGCCTGTCGCTGCAGAGGGAGCAGCTCAGCAGCTGCAAACTGAGGAACAGCCTGGACTCCAGCGACTCCGACTCGGCCCTGTGAGGGGCGCCGCCCGGAGGGGGGACGTGCGCGTCTCCGCGGCCTTCCCGGGACCAGCGTGCGAACCCCGAATGGGCCCACGCCCCACCCCAGGGGACCCGGGAGGACCCGGGACCGCCGCCCCTCGCACGCTTGGACTCCCGCCCGACTGCAAACTGGTCGGTGCGCCCTCTGCTGCGCTCCCCCGGACCAGGAGTGCCGGGCGCCTGGGAAGGGGGCCGCTTTCTTTGCCCTTGTAAATGTTTATTTTTTAACTCTTCCCAGTACGAACTCTTCTGTGAGTGTGTGCGGGGAGTCGCGCCCGCTCTGAGTCTGCCCCTGGTAGCCAGAGTCGCCCGGGGATCCGCTCCACGCCCTTGTCTGATGGTTTGCAACTCCGATTTTGCACACAGCTCCACCGTGCCCCCAGCGCACACCCGTCCGCGCTCACGCCAACACACTCTCGCTGAACACTTTTATAATTGTTAGGCACGGCCGATGGGACTTGGGGCGCAGCGCAACTGCTGCTGCGGCCAGAGGATTGATATTTATTTTTGCATTGCGATGGCTGAAGGCGTTTATTTAACAATCTTTTTACTTGGATATGTCTGTGAGGCTCCCGAATGGAGACAAATAAAGTCAATATATTTACACAGTGCATTTTCTTCAGGCTCTTGACTTCTTGAACCTTTGGGACCCAGGCTCCCAAGATGGGGGGAAGTGAGGGAGGTGGTGGCGGGGATGGAGAGGCAGGGAACCCAGGTGGAGGTGCCTTCACAAGCCTCAGTGTCCGGAACAAGGTCGCGCCCCCGGTGCACAGATTCATCACCTGCCTCCCCAAGTGGATACACACCCGATCCAGAGCGCTCCTGCCCCCCGCCACCGCCCCATCCCTGGTCTCCCTCGTCCCCCATCCCTGGTCGCCCGTGTCCAGGATGGAGTGAAGTCTCTGACAAGGGAAAGGTGGCCCTGTGAGGCTGGACAGCGCCCTACTCGGCGCCGTTGACCTTTCGTGCAGTCCAGGGTTAGGGTTCTTGCACCACACCCGCCACAGAAGACGCCACTCATTTGGCACACATTCCTGGTGGCTGGTGGGGAGATGCCGGAGCCAGCAATGCTAGACCCAGGTGGGCACATTTGGGTGGTGGGACGCTAGAGAGGGCCGGGGACCCGCGTGGGTGCGCACTCACTGTAGCCTGCAGAAGACCTCCCCCCTCAAAATCAGCTGCACCTGCCCCGCGGGAGCAAACAGCATCTCTGTCCTTTGGTCTTTTCTTCCAGCCCTCTCTTTTGCCCACTTTGGGGTTCTTTGAGGAAGGTGGGGCATGTCTTTGGTCAGAGCCTGAAGGGCGCCGGGGTACCATCAAGTCCTCCGCCATGCCGGTCCCCGCATTTGTTTACAGAAGAGAAAACTAGGCCAGCAGTGAGGGAAAGGTCACGCGGAGAGGAGCGGAGACACAGCTAGTTCCACCGCAGGAGCGTGATTTGCCAGCGCCCTTCAGCAGCTGCACCTTGATTCCTCCGGGTTAGCAGTATAGTAGTGTCAGCTCATGGCAGGTGCCCACCAAGGTAATAAACAACACTCGTTAAGGAGGGCGGAGCCCCAAGCCTGAGACCCCTCCCAGCTTACTCCTCCTGGATTACTCCAGGCTGACTCTCCCTGGCCATGCTTTGGGGCTAAGTGCTAGGAGAGGGTGAAGGCTGCGCGGGTGCCATCTCGGGGTGCCGCGTCTCTGCGCTCGGGCGCCCTCTGGTGGTGAGAGCTGGTGGAGGGGCAGAAATCCCATCAGCAGGTAGTAGCTCAGCCAGCCAAGGACCTGAACAACCTGTCTCTCCTGACACCGCACCTCTAGCAGCCCTGGGCTCTGCAGAAGACGAGAGAGCAGAGGAAAAACCAAAATAGAACCTTGGGGCCTGCGAAGATTTCCTTCCTATTTTCTCACGGAGAGGAGGAGAGGCTGGCAACCTTGGCTGCTATGGTCTTTGGTCCCTGTCACAGCCCCTGTGAACACACGGGCCATGAGAGTCCCCAATGATGGATTCCATTGTGTTGGGGGTTGTGACAGGACACTCTTATCTGCAAAGACCTCGGACTTGTGAAGCCACTTCAGGTTGGTGCTATATTCCGGTCCACAGCTGCCCTCACGGAGCTACTTTGAGTTCCCTGGGGGCAGGAGGAGGTGGCTGAGACACCCTCAGAGCCCAGCCCCATGTTCTGCTCTCTCCAGAGAGACTTGCCAAAGGTGAGGGAAGGACCCAAACATTTCACCCGCATCTCTCCTGCAGTGGCTCCTGTTTCTACTCTTCAAGAGCCAGATGCTCCAAGGATCTGGAAGAACCCTCCCCACTCCTGCCACCTGGTTGGCTTCTAGAACCTTCCAGCTAAGATCCTTCCCTCTGGACAGCCTTTTCCTGCTGAAGAACCTCCTCCCCCTGCCCAGCTCGGTAGCTGACAAATACCCCAGGGTCTCCTTGGATCACCCTGGGCAACACCCAGGGTTTTCTCAGGGACCTTGTCCCATCCATCACTCAATTCCCTGCTCAGCTGCAGCAGGCCCCGGCACTGATGAGGTGCTTCTGAAATGTTTGTTGGGTTAAAATAAATAAAGAGGCAGTGAGGAAGATTGATGCCCATCTCACCTACTTCTTAGTTTGTTTTTAAAATTGTTCCTCTAATTTGTGTTGCTCCCCCCAATATTCATTCATTATAATACAAAATGAATCACTTATCCTCTCACCACTCTGAGATAAATAGGTTAACACTTTGGAAATGCCTATATATGCATGTTTCTTCTCTTTTATAATTGAGTTTATGTTCTACATGCTATTTTCAACCTTTTTTTACTTCATTACATTTGTATTTAATATCAGCATGTGATCATCAGCACAATTTTAAAATAAATTTTGTTGAATAAACTCCACATTTAATTAAGCTAATGCCCCACTGCTTAGTATAAAAGTGAAGTCCTGTTTGTCCCTGTTTCTTAGTTTGGCCTGTAACTGGCCGTTCTAGGATTGATGTGGAAAGAAGTGTGATGGAAGCAGTGACCCAGAGAGGATGAGGGAGAGGAGGTTGGGGTGCTGCCGTCTGTGTTAGAGGGGCCCTGGCCTTTGCACTACATTAGGTGTGCTCTCTGGTTCTGAATGTCTCTGCCCTGCCCAGAGGAAGGGGCAAGGGAGACTGGGGAATAGGGAGCCCCCACCAGGTCCCTGTGGATCTGCTGGGCCTCCACTCCTCCCTGTGCCTTACGGCTACACTTCCCAGCATCTGGGCCTTGGACTGGTTTGGCCCGGTAGGAACTGGGCCAAACAGCAAGAGATAAGTAGTGAGCCAGCGAAAATTTATCTGTGTTTACAGCCACTGCTCTCTGTTCTCATCACAGCCTGAGCAGGGACTCCTGTCAAATCAGCAGCAGCATTAGATTCTCATAGGCAGGCAAACCCCACTGTAAGCTGCGCATGTGAGGGATCTAGGCTGCACGCTCCTTATAGGAATCTAATGCCTGATGATCTGGCGTGGAGCTGTAATGCACTGGAATCATCGCCAAATCATCCCTCCCCTGCCAATCGCCCCTTCATGGAAAATTTGTCTTTTATAAACCCAGCCCCTGGTGCCAAAAAGGTTGGGGATTGCTGTGCTAAGACATCCTCTGGCAGCACACAGCTCTAGAGAGTGGCAGGCTGGGCCCAGTTGGGTGGCCAAATGGCAGAAGAGGAGGAAAGAGCAGGAGAGACATGCAGTGAAGGAGCAAGAGAGAGCAAGGGAGCCAGAGAGGTGGGGAGGAAAGAGGTCACTTAGGGAGACAGGGACATTCAGAGAAGGCAATGGAGAGAGATGTGGAGAGGTGGAGTCAGGAGCCAGAGAATGGCAAGAGATGGGAAGAACAAAGACCACTCTGGGAAACAAAGAGAGAGGGGGAGAAAGAGAGAGAGGTACATGGGGATAGGAAAGAGGGAAGGAATATAGAAAGAAGCGCTCTCTGGAGAATGGGGGCTGGAGGAGAGGGGAGTTGGAGGGAGCTGTAGGCAGGTGTGAGTCTGGGTGAGTGAACCCCTGCCCAGCTATCTGGAGTTATAGGCCTGTCCAAGGACATGCCTGCTTCCTTCCCTTCCCTGTCTGGGCCTCAGCCCACAGTCCTCTCCTGGATGATGAGTTTTCAAACAGGCTGGAGCCAGACAAGGCAGAGGTAACAAGAGGCCATCCCAGCTCTGGCTGACAGCCTCTCCGAAATATTTCCCTTTGGCCTTGGGGGAGATGTTTATCAGGGCTTCTCTTGGACTGATTTAAAAGCCAGCGTGGCCTTTGCAGCCCATTGTGTCTGATTCCCAGCCCATGTGGTGTGGGGTCTGGAGGGAAGGGCTGTCTGGGACCCACTGTGGGCTTTGGAGTCTTTCCTCCTGAAGCACATTTGGGGTAGCCCCTAGGCCCTTTGGGCTCTGAAAACATGGGGGGGAGGGGATAAAGGCCACCATTCAGAGTGTCAGTACTCTGCTTTCATCCTGATAAAGTTTCTCAGGCATTTTACAGATGAGACAACTGATGATCAGAGCAGTTAAGTTTCTTGACTAACAGGCACAGGTAGTCAGTGGTGAGCTGGGTGGCATCTTAGCGTTTTTTTATTCCAAAGTCTTTGCTCTTTCTAGAGTACGAACTCCAATTTCTTACTGTAATCCCCTGTGGTAACCTGGAGAATAACAAGCTTTGCAGATCTGCTATAGGAAAGTGTAACTGACCAACAGCTGCCCTGGCTTTGAAACCCTCTATTTCCTTTGGCTGAGACTGAACTCCCCTGGGCCACTCCCTACCAGCGTGTGCATGGCTGGGATACTGAGTCTCAACTATTCCTGGGAGACTTGAGATTTTTTTTGATGGTCTTTAGCACAAAGATTTCCTAGGGGTTCTGCTGAGGCTTTTTTAGCCTGCAGAGCTCTCTCTGGACAACCTCTCGCCGTCTCTCCAACACTCAGGGCTACACTTGCCCCGCAGCCTGCAGCCTTCCTAGCCTTTCTTGTCCCCCTCCCTGTCATTTCACATTGTCATGTCTCCTCATGAGATCTTTGCACGTTTAGTCCCACCCTAGTGTCTGCATCCTGGAGAACCAGAACTAGCACACCCTTCCAATTCCCAGCTGGTTCCCAGTGCTTTGCGCTGTCACTTGGCACAGGGGAGGCTAGGGGACACCACTTTAGGGAGGCTGCAGGGAGATGGCCAAGTTTACCAAACAGATCTGTGTCATGATGGTCTGCTGGCCCTGTCCCAGACTCTCTAGTGTGGCCTTAAGACTGTGGGAGTACCCACCCTCCTGCCAGGCTGTCTTTCCCCTTCCTACAAGTGGAAACATGGTTGTGCCTGCAACCCAGCTGTGATCAAGCTGAAAAGCCCAATGAGGGACGTCAGAGAAACAAGGTAGAAGGAGCCCAAGTCCCTGAATGACTTTGTGGAAAAGAACAGCCTGCCAGTCAGGAATACTCAGGAATGCTCACCGTGAGAGCACACACCTCTGTCTTTGAGCCACTTTGGGTTTTTTGTTTTTTTAATTATAACAGACTTCCCTTACCATAAAAAAGAAATTAGTACCATCCTGGCAGTAGGGTGCTGTCCTGGCAAAGGCCCTAAAATACAAGGCCTTGACAGTGACTTTGCTGCATGCAGGGAAGGT